CCATGCCAATGCGGCGCTCAGCAATCCCATTTTGCTGTGGAGAGGCCGGAAGCATGAACGTCTGGCGGATGCCCTCCGCACGACAGAAGGCTCGCAGAAGGTCGGAGGAAAACTCTCCACCCCTGTCGGAGTGCAGACGCAGAAAAGGAAGGTCCGAGCCGAAACTCTCGCTGAGCTGACGACGGGCAGCGCGGATCCAGTCGATCAGCACCTCAGTGACCTCACCCTTGCGGCGCAAGGGGAAGACTGTGGTGTAACGCGAGTAGTCGTCAACGACTAGCAGAAAGTAGCGCTCGTGAGCCTGTCCACGGACGCGGGCTGGGCCCCACACGTCGATGTGAAGAGTCTGCAGGGGAGCCTCCGTCGGAGGGAACTCGGAGGAGTGAGGAGCGGCGCGCTGCCGCCCCTCGACGCAAGGAACGCAGGTAAGGGCAGGCCCCGGGGGGGGGGGAGGGGAAGACCGGTGACAAGGACACGGGAGGCCATGCCTCGGAGACGAGGCAGGGAGGGGTGACCAAGGCGGTGGTGCAAGAGGAGAGTCTGGTGAGACAGGAGGCGACACGAGCAGGGGGCAGACTCAGGACCAGACCGGGACGCTGCAGCAAACACCTGACCCGACGCAGCTACCTGACCAGACTCAGCAACTGGAGGAGACACTGTAGTCAGGGTGTACAGGCTTGACCCATGCTGACGGGTGAACGTGGCCAGGTGCCGGCCCGTCCGAGTACACGAACAGTGGGTCACCCGCTGACCTCTAGGAGTGAACTGGTCAACCTACGCGTCCTGAAGGTCAGCTCCACTCACCAAGTTCATGGAGAACGAGGGGAGGTTGAGGCCAGACAGAGAGCCAGACGGGACCGCGGACACGGCAGGACCGTGGAGGAGTGTGCAAGGACCGGACCCCCAGAGGGGTCAGCCAGAGAGACTGCACTGGCAGACTGAGCGGCGAGAGTGTGGTGCAGTCGCGAAAGAAGGAGCGGGAAGCACCCGAGTCAAGGGTGAAAGTGTGCAAGGCCTGAGCCGACGCGGTACCTAAGAGAGCAGACTCACCAGTACCTGGGGCAGCAGACTCACCAGCACTTGGAGCAGCAGACTCACTAGCACCTAGAGCAGCAGCCTCAATGCCCGGGTCGGGCGGAGCACACAGGTCACAGTCACCCTCAGCACTAATAGACACAGCATACATAGCAGCAAGAATAGCATCATAATCAAGATCAAAGATAGCAACCCCGGACTTAAGCAGATCACCCCAGCGTGGGATCTCTGTGGAGTCAGGAAACTGTGTACGCCAGGCGTCAGTCAGGCGGCCAAAACAGCGTTGCGTGGCGTGCGGCCCTCCGCACGTCTCCCCACTGCGCTCGTCGGTGCGGAGAACGTAAGCGCAGGGACCAGCACCCCCAGACCTCCCACGCCCAGCGTACCACTAACGAAGCTGCTGGGGCGACAGGGTCTCACGAGGGCGCTGCTGCTGCTGGCTCTGACCACCGCCAAAGCCTCCCCGCTGCACAGCGCCACCCCGACCAGCACCACCGCCGCCGCCACCCCCACCGCCGCTGCCGCCGCCGCCGCCACCTCCACCCCCACTGCCGCTGCCTCCGCCGCCTCCACCTCCACCACCGCTACCGAAGCCCCCACTCCCGCCACCACCCCCACCTCCACCCCCACCCCCTCCGCTGCCTCCACCGCCACCACCGCCGCCCCCGCCATCCCCTCCAGCACCCTTGCCCCCCTTGCTCCTGCCGCCGTGGCACCTCCCACTGGGAGCAGACGCAGCGCCGACCGACTCGGTGCCAACGAGGTCGACAGCAGCAGCAGAGGCAACAGAGGGAAAAAGAGGGACAAGGGAGCACCCCTCAAAGAAAGGGGCACGAGGGTCACCACGAGAGGCTCCTACTGCGACTATACTCTTCTCTGCTGCAAGAAGGCGCTCCTCGAGGAGGTCAACGATGAGCGTGGTGGGGCAAAGGGAGAGGAAGTGGTCCCTGACCGAGCGAAGGGAGTCAGGGAGCCGGGTGATGAGGTAGTAGAGAGTGATGTACATAGGGGGGGGGGGGGGGGTTCGCGGCGCAGAACTCGGCAGGAAGCGCAGCGCAGTAGCGGGTGTCACTAGTGCGGAGGTGCGTAATGAGGTCAGCGACTGTGGCAAAAGCAGCTAGGTCAGGGAACAGGTACGGCAGCATGAGGCGGCTAAGGGCAGCAGTGGCAGGGGAGGAGTTGCGCGCAACAACAGCGTCGTACAGAGTCCTAGCGGTCTTGTACTAGCTAAAGTGCGCGCGCTCAGCAGACGGCAGGTGACTGCGAATAGCAAGACGGGCAGCAGCATCGCGCGTGGTCCACTGCGAGCGAACAGCACTGTCAGCATCGGCAGCAGGTGCAGCAGAGGCGCCAGACGTGAGATAAAAAAGCGAGACTCCGTCCTTGCTATCGCACTGCAGAAGTAGCTGCAAATCATCGACCCAGACCTCACAATCGACCGCTCGACCCTCAGCATCGAAGGTAAGGACATTAGGGCTAGTCATGACAGCAGGAGCAGTAGCAGTAGCCAAGCAGCAGCTGTAGCAGCAGGAGCAGCGCGACTCGGCAGGGCGGCGCGGCTCGCAAGGGCGGCGCGGCTCGGCAGGGCGGCGCGGCTCGGCAAGGCGGCGTGGGTGCGGCGGTGCGCTTACCAGCGGCGGGAGGGGAGGGTAGAGGCCGCGACTGGTGGGGCAGGGCCGTGGCGCGCCGGCAGGGTAGAGCCCCCTACAAGGCGGCAGGGCAGGGCCGCGGCTCGGCGGCAGGTCAGGGCCGCGTCAGGGCAGCAGGGCAGGGCCGCGACGGCGGGGCCGCAGCGGCGACGACAGCGGCGGTCGTACCGGCGGCTGCAGGCTCGACGGCGGCAGCAGAGCCGCTATGGTGGTAATAGGGGCGATGGCTGCTGCAGGCCACGGGGCCTCGGCGGCTGCTGCAGGGTAAGGGGCCGCGACGACGGGCGGGCGGGCCGCGCAGGGCCGCGACGAAGGGGTGGGCAGGCCGCTAAGGGCCGCTAAGGGCGGCGACGGGCCGCTAAGGGCTGCAGGGCGGGCCGCTTAAGGGCGGCAGGGCGGTTCGCGGCGGGGCGGCGACGGGCCGTTAAGGGCGGCAGGGCGGGCCGCTAAGGGCGACAGGGCAGGCCGCTAAGGGCCGCGACGGCAGGGCGGGCCGCTAAGGGCGGCCGTAGGGCAGAGCCCGATGCGCGCTTCGGGCAGGGCAGGAAAAATTTTCAAGTGGTGGGCCCTTAAAGCCCGCAGCTAAAATAGTGACCCCCCCCTTCTAGTTGGGTCCACTTGAAGTCTTAATGTTTCGGAAAGTTGGAAGTGTTATGTTTTTTTTCCTTTTCAAACGCGTTTGATACTGTTCGGGTCTTCACAGATTTCGTCAAACAAAAATCGTCGTAAGAATGTGCAATGCACGCACAAGTGCAATGTGTCGCAAGTTTGCGACGTGCAAGTCCCATTCACATTCCAGTGTCAAATTCACAGATTGTGGCATGTGCAATTCACGCACAGCAAACGCCATAGACAATTACCTGCTATGGCGGCAAAAACAGCATAGGAAAAACGGAAGAAGGGGAAAAACAGAGAGTTTCAAGGTGACGAGAGAAGAAAGAGATAGGGCGACTGGAGGGCGTTTCAGAGATGGGTGATGGGGGGGATAAACGAAAGGCGACGGGCGAGAAGTTCGCGGCGAGCATGAGGACCACGAGGTGGGTGATGCGAAGGGAGAGAAGAAGGGCGCGGGGAGGGCGTTTGAGAGCGAGCGCGAAGGCGACGAGGTGGGTGATGGGAGGAGAAATTGGGCGACGGGACGAGAGGGAGAGGAGACGATTTGGGGGGCGACGCCTGACGTGCTGTGTTCATTTTTCTGGTTTTGGCGGGAACCAATCAGATTTGTTCGATCTGTTCAATCGCTCTCAATGAAACAGTGCAAACTTCTCGGTTTGGTTTGGAAAATTGTTTCGCTCGACAAGCTCTCTTTCAAGCTGGAGACGGGTTCACTATTTTGCATTCTGGTTAAAAAAAAAAAAAAAAAAAAAAAAAAAAAAAAACGGTTCCACCAGGGAACCCGCTCTATACCATGTGAGAAAAGTACGAGGAATTGAATCAACTAGGAAGCTGGTGGGTACAAATATGAAAACCTAAAAGAGTTGTACCCCATATTGTCAACCCCGCTACAGCCTACAATATGGTTCTGACAAACCTCGGCATAATGACGAAACCGTGGGCTATGGAGCCTACCTCCGTAAGTGTGAACAATAGAAACAACCGTTGTTTTCTCTGGCGATGGTCGTCACTGTTTTGTCAGCGGTGCTGTTGGCCAATCCTTCTTGCGCCTCAATCCCTTCTTCATGAGTCGCGAGGGAGCAGATCCCAAATCGGGTCACCTTGTATTTTGACGAAGCCAAGTTCAAGAACCTTGAGCTTGTATTTTAGACTCGGGTTTTAATGAGGCGATCAGAATGTTGTTACCGTAGTCCAGCTGAGATGTAGGCTTCACAGTTGTCAAGTTCTAAAATGCTCGGAAACGGCCATGGCGGCCTTGGACTTGTCATTGTCATCGGCGCGCTTGGGCTGATCCCGTGTGCCTGAAATAGCATTTATACGAAACAATCCCGTGTTATTTTTCAATTGTATGAAATAGTAATGACTTCCGCGCACTCGTATTTGACACTTCAAACATCGAGTCGGCTTATGGCAAGTGGTGCGCTATGTACATCTCGGCAATCCTCTGCACGTCTCCGAGGCAGTTGTGCACCCTCTCGACTTGAGTGCTCCTTCTGCGACGAAATGGTGTTGGGGCTGGGTTGGTCTGGTCTGGACGCAAATGCCTCTGCAGTTTCCTTCATTTTGCCCTCCGTCACCTCTCGTCCCTCCTTCCTCGATCGATACCGCCACATTAGACCTCATGCACCCTGTTCATTTTCCCTAATTTAGCTCGTTTTGCGCTATTTCGTAAATTGAATTCCGCCTTCAGTCGCACTTCAAATGGCTGACGCCGTTCGCGTCGTCCCACCCTCCGAAGCGAAACAGCTGGTCGAGTCCGGTCACGTCTTTCTCGATGTTAGGTGAGAAAATGTCGGCGTTGTCTTTCTCACCAGTGCACGATTCTGTTAAGTTGGCAGTACTATTAAAAAAAATCACTGATTGAAGTCGACGGGCCGTATGTGGCGGACTGTGCAAGGTTATCTCCACGAGTCGTTCACGTTGCTTCAGATTCGACATGTTTCATACCAAAAGATTCACCAGCTTGTTCCGCGCCGGCTTGCAGAACACCTCAGGAATATGCAACGGGGCACGTCGCGGGATCCATCAACATTCCTTTCATGCTCACCGCTTCTGACGGTAAGCCATGTCCCGCCGCCTTCCGCTCATGGCAGCAAACGTTCTTTTGCATCGAACATTTCAGGAGGCATGGCCTCACACCTTTCTGTGCCGTAGCACGGTTCAAGAAAGTTGGGTTGAACTTTCAGATATGAATGTCGACAGCTTGTGGAAACCATGCTTCAACCCCACTTACACATATGATTCAGTTTTCAGAGGAAGTAATTCTTTGTGCATGTTCAGGATCAGATTACTAGAACCTTTTGTCAGAGCTCAATCCAGTTCTTATCCTGACCTCTCCATGTATGCATGGTGTTCCAGGATCCATGGTAAAAAACGCAGAGTTTCTGACTCAAGTCAAGGGAAAGTACTCGACCAGCACGCCCCTTGTTCTGGTAGGATATCCAGCATCCATGGGATCTGTATGTAATGCAACATTTGCTCCGGAAACCGTTTTTCATTTCACAGCATCACGTTTTCTCACAATCACTTTGTACTTCATTTCCAGGCTTGTCGAAGTGGAAAAAGGTCAAACATGGCTGCCAACGTCCTTAGAGAAGTGGTGAGAAATGGAACACTTATTTTGGACCAGATGATATTGTGCCTGTCTAATACGGTGCCACTCGTTTTTTGGCAGGGCTACACATCACTTGCAGATATGGAAGGGGGAATGATGGCATGGAAGGGCTCGTTGGTTCTTTGATAATGGACAGTTTCCTTGCAATGGGATGGAATGGTAAAATAGGAATGATATCGTTTTAGCTTTGCTATGTGCAAGGCCTATTCCTAGCACACTGTGTCAGTGTGCTAATCCGAAATATTTCAAGCGGCGCGGCTCGTCTCGATGCGCACTCTTCTCTCAACGTTGCATGTCACATTTCAATGTATACAACCAACAATTCGTTTGCACCATCCGTTTCAGCGTTTCGCATCCCAACAGCATCCACTTCCATTGAACCTAGCGCGTCCAATACAGGCCGAGTTTGCCTCACAACCGTGCAATGACGTTTTGATTCCCCTCGCTTGGTTGGCATTCACAGCAGCTTCGAAGCTCCGATGGCGGACGCAATGTAGCTGCAGAATGTCAGCAGAGCTTGCACGAGCGGATTTCTCGCCGTGGTGGCGGCAGCATTTCAGATCTCTCAACGCAACCTCTCAGAGAGTCTCTGAAGTCATCTGCACTGTCGCCTCGAAACGACTTGGCACTGCTCGCGCTGAATGAATGTCCAGCCCTGGCAAAATGACATTCTCATCACCAACGGCGCATGTAGATTCTTCGCCGAGCACCGCGGACACGCCAGACCTCTCACTCGCCTACAGCGTCCCTGACCTCGCATGCTCCTGCGCGGCACAGCCACCAGCTTCGACCATCATCCTACTGCCCACGACCCTCAGGGTGTTACCAGCGACGCTCGGGCGCGTGTTCGCGGTGTCGGCGCTGCTGCTCGTCGCGCTCTCCACCGTGTCGCAGTACCGCGATTTACAGGCCGCCGCCATAATGGCGGAGCCGCCCTTCCCCGTGCTGCCGCCGCTGGAGGTCCATCGGCTCGTGGAGCAGCAAGGCTACGTCTACCTGGACGTCAGGTGAACACTCGCCTGGGAATTTCGAGCGCCTTGCAATGTGTTCCAAACGCGCAGTGCTGATGGAAGTTTCGTTCGGATCCTTTCCTCCATGCCATCCCGTGCCTCGTGCCACGGTGCTTGGCGCAGGACGGCAGAGGAATTCGCGCAGGTGCACGTGCCGGGGTCCGACCTCATTCCCTACTTCATCACCGCGCCCGACGGTACGTCTCGTCCCCTCCAGCGTCCTGCCGACATTTCTCTCTCATTCTCTTTTCTTTCTATCAACAGCCGTTTCGCCTTCCCACCCCCAAAATGCGCCGCTTTTTAAATGATTCTACGTCGTTATTCACGGTCTGATGCGTGTCGTGACATGCAGCTTCATTCATGCACCATCTGCACCCAATTAAACTACTTGCTTCTGCAGGTTCGCAGCAGCCTAATCCCGATTACCTCCAACAAGTGAAGAATAAATACGCCCTCGATACACCCCTCATTGTGGTACACCTCTATACCCGCCTTCCCTCGCATTCTGTGAAGTGAAGCATCTCATCTCTCGTCTCCCACCTCACTAACACATGCTGCACCTTTCCCTCAACGCGTTCAAGCTCACCACCTTCCCCCCCTTCAGGCCTGTCGCAGCAGCAGGAGGTCCAACCTGGCAGCGTGGGAGATGACTGCCCAGGTGAGCCACCAAGGAAAGTCTGCTATTCTCGTAGACAGAAGCACATGCTCAAGTGCATGAGATCCTTGCTCCGTGGCATGATCACTTAGGCTGCGCGCGTTGCTGTGAGAATTGCAGGGGTTCACAAGGCTCGTGGATCTCAAGGTGGGCATCATCGCGTGGGAGGAGAGTGGGCTGCCCGTGGTGAGGCAGAGCAGCAAGCTTGAGGGGACTGCCCATCCTCCTGTCATCCATGCAAGCAGGATGTCTGGTTGACCTTTTACGCACTGTACAGGCGATATGGACCAAGTCCAACCATCCACCCATTGCTGGCCTGGGATATGGAAGCTTCTAGATTGGATAGCTTCTGGATGAACCATGGGATGTAGCATCTTGTTACCTCCCTAATGTACATCTCCTCCTATATGTAATTTAACTACACTGTAACATCTAGTCACCACTCGCCCAGGTTCATGGCCACGAAGCCACTGTACAGCCGCCCGCCCGTGGCTCGGAGCTCGTTGATGAGGCGGCTCCAGTTGGACCCCAGCGACCCGATAAAGGAGTCGCACTGCGCTGCGATTAACGCGCTCGCCAGGCTGGCAGCCACGGACTGTGCGGCGTCGTACTCGCGATTGCGCTCCGAGTCGGCCGGCTGGCGGGCATTTGTGGCGAAGAGGAAGTGCCAGTCGGGGTAGTGGGCCGTCTCGTTTATCACTGACTGTGCCATGGAGGGGAGAGGGGGGGGAGCGGACGGCACTGATGTGTGGGACTGTGGGGATGTTGAGTGTGCAAGGGATGGGTACAGAGTGTGGCATGCTGGCATGGCTCGGGGCACAAGTCTTATACCATGTGAGGACATAAGGACGTACACAAGGGTTCGGTCTCACCTGACGCCCTGTAACGAGGCACACGAGTTGGCAAAACGGCACAGTAAGTTCACACGAGAGCATAGGAGCAGGGGGGCCTTGTCCCGTGCGTTCACCCCACCATCAAGAACAGGGGTCCATATTGGTTTGGTGCTACCCGAGCCTCTGTGTCCGCCCACATACGCCCCACATGCACTGCGTCGTGTTGTGGCTCTCCACACAGCACATGCGTACCAGAGTGCATGTCCCACCCACCTGTGCCTCAGTGTTGAGCCACACGTGTCGGAGGTCCACCAGAGCACGGAGCAGGCGGTATGCAAGGAGCATGTAGGCGGGCAGCGACAGCGGGAAGCAACACAACTCCCACCTGAGGATCGGTGTTGAGTCACACACACCCCACCTGTGCTTCAGTGTTGAGCCACACATGTCGGAGGTCCACGAGGGCGCGGCGAAGGCGGTAGGCGAGGAACATGTGGGCGGGCAGCGACAGCACCCTCATCTCCGACAGCTTGTTGCTCTGCCTCACATGCATGCTCACTATTGGTCGCTGCATGTACGGCTCTCTGACTAGGTCTGTGGGTGTGCTGGGCGGTGACATGCGGTGCCAAGCGGCAGATGCAGTGGCAGCAGCAGCAGCGGAAGCGGCAGCAGGTGAAGCATCAGTACCGCACGACTCGTAGTGTTGGAGAGCGAGTGAGAAGGCATGGAGTGAGGAGAGATGAGAGGAGGGGGGTGAGGATGGGGGGTTGGTGGAGTGAGAGGAGGAGTGAGAGGAGTGGAGGGAAGCGATGCGATTGGCGACGTGCATGCCGTAGGCGGTGTGTCTCTGTTGGTTGATGACGTGGCAGAGATGGGCTGATGGCCACCTCAGCATGAAGCGCACCGCCTGCGCCCGCCACCAGTGCACCTGAGGGAGGGGGCGAGGGGGAAGGCAGAATAAGAATCAGGCCAACGCAAACGGGCACCCCACGCGCGCCACCAGTGCACCTTGAGTGGGGAAGAGAGAGAGTGGGGTGCGAATTCATGGTGTGACTCCGATTAGCTTTCATGCACACCGCCTGCGCCTGCCACCAGTGCACCTGAGGGAGAGGAAGGGTGGGGGTCAGATAAATAGTTTGACTCAGAATAGCTAAGAGAAACACCGCCTGCGCCCGCCACCAGTGCACATTCATTGGGGAAGAGAAAGGGCGGGGAGCGAATTCATGGTGTGACTCAGAATAGCTTTCATCCACACCGCCTGCGCCCACCTTCAGTGCACCTGTGTTGGGGGAGGGGAAGGGGGAGAAGTGAATAAGAATGAGGCAAACGCCAAGGGGCACCCTGCGCCCCCCCCCCCGAGGGGGAAGGGGATAGGAAGGGGCAGCAGAATATGAAAGGCAGTGAGGCATACTGAGTGAAACTATGGAACTATGCAACTACGTATTGCATACCTGAGTGCAGGTATAGCAGGTGGCTAGCTACATGTGTGGTGCCTCACTACGACTCTAGTACCAAGGGCAGGGCACTTGGAGAATAAAGCCCCACTTGACATACCACCTACTGTTCGTGACCACCTGTGCCAGCTGCCCCCCCTGACCTGCCTCACCATCTTGGTGTCAGCGCTGGTGGGAGCCACGTGGCCGCCATGCTCCACCACATCGGCGTCCGCCAGATAGGCATCGCCCCACAGCGATGCCGCGCGGCCCTCATAGCTCATGAAGACGTCCGTGGTGGGGTCCAGATACACCGCCCGTGTGGCACAGGGGGAGGTGGAGGAGGGCAGGCAGAGGGGGAGGTGGAGGAGGGCAGGCAGAGGGGGCGAGGCAGAAGGTGGGGGCAGATGAGCACGTCTCTGTTGCATGGCATGACGACGCCCATGGCGGGGTTCAGGCCCACCACCTGACGGGGTCACACTCACACATGGCAGGTGAATCTCCAGGTGGTTTCAGGTTCCACAACGCATGAGGGGTTGTGAAGCAGGGGTTGTGTAGTGTAGGGCCGTCGTTGATAAGGATGACGGCCGTGGTGGGTGCAGTCACTGTAACAGTCACAGTCACTGTCACTGTCACTGTCACAGTCACAGTCACAGTCACAGTCACTGTCACTGTCACAGTCACACCGCCGCCTGATGCTGCATGCCATGTGCCATGGCCAGCAGAAGAGGGGATTCAGACGGCGGGGGGCGGCAAGGGGGAGGCGGAGGGCGGTAGGCAGCAAGGGGGAGGTGGTGGGTGGAAGGCGGGTGGGGAAAAGGGGAGGCGGAAGTGGGGAGGAGGTGGGGAAAAGGCGGAAAGGGGGAGGGGGACAAGAATGTCCCGGAGACAAGAGCTAGATGGCATGAGTGTCGCATCCAAGCACTCGTGAAGGAGCTCTTGGGACGGGACAGCAGCCATCTCACCTGCTGCTGTGCTGCGCTGCGCTGTGCTGCCCCCCATGCCGCAGCTCCTCCCTCGGGGCACACACCAGCGCCGAGCAGCCTACTGCACATGGCAACACCGTTACTCCCGAAAGGCATCTCCTCTTCTCCTCTCTGCCAACCTGCCTACCACCCCCACCAGCCCCACTCACTCACCTGCTGCTCCGACTGCGCAGCCCTATCGTACCCGAGCTCCTCCCCCGTGACGCAGTCCCCGATGCCATCCCGTGCTCGCAGCCGGTTGAGCTCCGCCTCACAGTCGGGGGACACCATGGGGAAGAAGAAACACTCCCACGCGCCCTGCTGCCCCGTCGCTGCATGGCAGGTGGTTCGGGCAGGGCAGAGAGAGGAACAGGGGAGGATAGGACGGAGGGCAGAGAGAGAAGGGAGAGCAGGGAGGGGGAGGAGAGTGTAGAGAGAAATCGAACTAATTGTCATGTTCAGCAGAGAGGCATGGGAAAGTCGGACTCTTGTGATCCATCAGAGGGCCTTTGCGAGCAGCTGCAGTGCTGCACATAGGTGGTACCATGTGCCTCTCCCTCTTGCCGCTTCGCATTCCATACGTATCAGAAAACCAGCTCCGTGAGAGACAACCCTCATGCCACCCTCATGCCACCCTCATGCCACCCTCATGCCACCCTCACCCCACCCTCATGCCACCCTCACCCCACCCTCATGCCACCCTCACCCCACCCTCACTCCACCCTCACTCCACCCTCACTCCACCCTCACTCCACCCTCACTTCATTCCACCCTCACTCCACCCTCACTCCACCCTCACTCCACCCTCACGCCACCCTCACTCCACCCTCACTCCACCCTCACTCCACCTTCACTCCACCCTCACCTCACTCCACCCTCACGCCACCCTCACTCCACCCTGACCACACCCCACATATCCCTTGTGAATGCACTTCAGCCCTGCAGCGGCAACAACACATTCCCCTCCGAGTGGCCACTACCCTCGACTCCTCTTGTCTAATGATAATCCAATCTCCTCTTTCACAGCTTCTCTACCTGAGTGCATGTGATTCAGGTTGCAATGTGCGACAGAAAGGTGTGATGGAGAGGGTTAGAGAACAAGGCAGAGGGAAAGGGGAGAGAGCAAGGAGGAGGGCAATGAGCAGCTGTGAGAGCACGAATGTTGGTCCAACACCCCGGGAGATGTTTGGAAAGCGAAGTTCGAGATGCGATGCTTGGAAAACAAGGGCGCGATGAGAGCAGCGGCACACGGTGCAGGTGAAGCGACCTTGGCAGTGGGGGTGGTTGGCGCGGTCAAAGGAGTTGGCGAGCGGGATGAGCGTGCGGTTGTGCAGCATTGCCAGGCCCAGGAACGCGCCCATCAGATGCACCTGCGACGACCAGGGTAGGGGAGAGGCAGGAGGACGGGAGGGAAAGGGAGGGAGAGGAGTGGGTCGGGGAGAGCAACGAGAGGAGGGAGTGCGGTTGTAGAGCATTGCCAGCCCCAGGAACGCGCCCATCAGATGCACCTGCGCACATTGGGGGGGAGCGGAGGGGAGGGAGGAGAGACGGGGCACGCACAAGAGGGAGAGCCCAACATGGATGGAGTCAAGGTGGGGCGACAAGCTGATGGTGGGATGGGAGGGAGGAGATGGAGACGGGCAATGGTACGTGGACTGGCGTTGACTCACCTGCGACCCCACGCCATGGACTGGCGTTGACTCACCTGCGACCCCACGCCATGGACTGGCGTTGACTCACCTGCGACCCCACGCCATGGACTGGCGTTGACTCACCTGCGACCCCACGCCATGGACTGGCGTTGACTCACCTGCGACCCCACGCCATGGACTGGCGTTGACTCACCTGCGACCCCACGCCATGGACTGGCGTTGACTCACCTGCGACCCCACGCCATGGACTGGCGTTGACTCACCTGCGACCCCACGCCATGGACTGGCGTTGACTCACCTGCGACCCCACGCCATGGACTGGCGTTGACTCACCTGCGACCCCACGCCATGGACTGGCGTTGACTCACCTGCGACCCCACGCCATGGACTGGCGTTGACTCACCTGCGACCCCACGCCATGGACTGGCGTTGACTCACCTGCGACCCCACGCCATGGACTGGCGTTGACTCACCTGCGACCCCACGCCATGGACTGGCGTTGACTCACCTGCGACCCCACGCCATGGACTGGCGTTGACTCACCTGCGACCCCACGCCATGGACTGGCGTTGACTCACCTGCGACCCCACGCCATGGACTGGCGTTGACTCACCTGCGACCCCACGCCATGGACTGGCGTTGACTCACCTGCGACCCCACGCCATGGACTGGCGTTGACTCACCTGCGACCCCACGCCATGGACTGGCGTTGACTCACCTGCGACCCCACGCCATGGACTGGCGTTGACTCACCTGCGACCCCACGCCATGGACTGGCGTTGACTCACCTGCGACCCCACGCCATGGACTGGCGTTGACTCACCTGCGACCCCACGCCATGGACTGGCGTTGACTCACCTGCGACCCCACGCCATGGACTGGCGTTGACTCACCTGCGACCCCACGCCATGGACTGGCGTTGACTCACCTGCGACCCCACGCCATGGACTGGCGTTGACTCACCTGCGACCCCACGCCATGGACTGGCGTTGACTCACCTGCGACCCCACGCCATGGACTGGCGTTGACTCACCTGCGACCCCACGCCATGGACTGGCGTTGACTCACCTGCGACCCCACGCCATGGACTGGCGTTGACTCACCTGCGACCCCACGCCATGGACTGGCGTTGACTCACCTGCGACCCCACGCCATGGACTGGCGTTGACTCACCTGCGACCCCACGCCATGGACTGGCGTTGACTCACCTGCGACCCCACGCCATGGACTGGCGTTGACTCACCTGCGACCCCACGCCATGGACTGGCGTTGACTCACCTGCGACCCCACGCCATGGACTGGCGTTGACTCACCTGCGACCCCACGCCATGGACTGGCGTTGACTCACCTGCGACCCCACGCCATGGACTGGCGTTGACTCACCTGCGACCCCACGCCATGGACTGGCGTTGACTCACCTGCGACCCCACGCCATGGACTGGCGTTGACTCACCTGCGACCCCACGCCATGGACTGGCGTTGACTCACCTGCGACCCCACGCCATGGACTGGCGTTGACTCACCTGCGACCCCACGCCATGGACTGGCGTTGACTCACCTGCGACCCCACGCCATGGACTGGCGTTGACTCACCTGCGACCCCACGCCATGGACTGGCGTTGACTCACCTGCGACCCCACGCCATGGACTGGCGTTGACTCACCTGCGACCCCACGCCATGGACTGGCGTTGACTCACCTGCGACCCCACGCCATGGACTGGCGTTGACTCACCTGCGACCCCACGCCATGGACTGGCGTTGACTCACCTGCGACCCCACGCCATGGACTGGCGTTGACTCACCTGCGACCCCACGCCATGGACTGGCGTTGACTCACCTGCGACCCCACGCCATGGACTGGCGTTGACTCACCTGCGACCCCACGCCATGGACTGGCGTTGACTCACCTGCGACCCCACGCCATGGACTGGCGTTGACTCACCTGCGACCCCACGCCATGGACTGGCGTTGACTCACCTGCGACCCCACGCCATGGACTGGCGTTGACTCACCTGCGACCCCACGCCATGGACTGGCGTTGACTCACCTGCGACCCCACGCCATGGACTGGCGTTGACTCACCTGCGACCCCACGCCATGGACTGGCGTTGACTCACCTGCGACCCCACGCCATGGACTGGCGTTGACTCACCTGCGACCCCACGCCATGGACTGGCGTTGACTCACCTGCGACCCCACGCCATGGACTGGCGTTGACTCACCTGCGACCCCACGCCATGGACTGGCGTTGACTCACCTGCGACCCCACGCCATGGACTGGCGTTGACTCACCTGCGACCCCACGCCATGGACTGGCGTTGACTCACCTGCGACCCCACGCCATGGACTGGCGTTGACTCACCTGCGACCCCACGCCATGGACTGGCGTTGACTCACCTGCGACCCCACGCCATGGACTGGCGTTGACTCACCTGCGACCCCATGCCATGGACTGGCGTTGACTCACCTGCGACCCCACGCCATGGACTGGCGTTGACTCACCTGCGACCCCACGCCATGGACTGGCGTTGACTCACCTGCGACCCCACGCCATGGACTGGCGTTGACTCACCTGCGACCCCACGCCATGGACTGGCGTTGACTCACCTGCGACCCCACGCCATGGACTGGCGTTGACTCACCTGCGACCCCACGCCATGGACTGGCGTTGACTCACCTGCGACCCCACGCCATGGACTGGCGTTGACTCACCTGCGACCCCACGCCATGGACTGGCGTTGACTCACCTGCGACCCCACGCCATGGACTGGCGTTGACTCACCTGCGACCCCACGCCATGGACTGGCGTTGACTCACCTGCGACCCCACGCCATGGACTGGCGTTGACTCACCTGCGACCCCACGCCATGGACTGGCGTTGACTCACCTGCGACCCCACGCCATGGACTGGCGTTGACTCACCTGCGACCCCACGCCATGGACTGGCGTTGACTCACCTGCGACCCCACGCCATGGACTGGCGTTGACTCACCTGCGACCCCACGCCATGGACTGGCGTTGACTCACCTGCGACCCCACGCCATGGACTGGCGTTGACTCACCTGCGACCCCACGCCATGGACTGGCGTTGACTCACCTGCGACCCCACGCCATGGACTGGCGTTGACTCACCTGCGACCCCACGCCATGGACTGGCGTTGACTCACCTGCGACCCCACGCCATGGACTGGCGTTGACTCACCTGCGACCCCACGCCATGGACTGGCGTTGACTCACCTGCGACCCCACGCCATGGACTGGCGTTGACTCACCTGCGACCCCACGCCATGGACTGGCGTTGACTCACCTGCGACCCCACGCCATGGACTGGCGTTGACTCACCTGCGACCCCACGCCATGGACTGGCGTTGACTCACCTGCGACCCCACGCCATGGACTGGCGTTGACTCACCTGCGACCCCACGCCATGGACTGGCGTTGACTCACCTGCGACCCCACGCCATGGACTGGCGTTGACTCACCTGCGACCCCACGCCATGGACTGGCGTTGACTCACCTGCGACCCCACGCCATGGACTGGCGTTGACTCACCTGCGACCCCACGCCATGGACTGGCGTTGACTCACCTGCGACCCCACGCCATGGACTGGCGTTGACTCACCTGCGACCCCACGCCATGGACTGGCGTTGACTCACCTGCGACCCCACGCCATGGACTGGCGTTGACTCACCTGCGACCCCACGCCATGGACTGGCGTTGACTCACCTGCGACCCCACGCCATGGACTGGCGTTGACTCACCTGCGACCCCACGCCATGGACTGGCGTTGACTCACCTGCGACCCCACGCCATGGACTGGCGTTGACTCACCTGCGACCCCACGCCATGGACTGGCGTTGACTCACCTGCGACCCCACGCCATGGACTGGCGTTGACTCACCTGCGACCCCACGCCATGGACTGGCGTTGACTCACCTGCGACCCCACGCCATGGACTGGCGTTGACTCACCTGCGACCCCACGCCATGGACTGGCGTTGACTCACCTGCGACCCCACGCCATGGACTGGCGTTGACTCACCTGCGACCCCACGCCATGGACTGGCGTTGACTCACCTGCGACCCCACGCCATGGACTGGCGTTGACTCACCTGCGACCCCACGCCATGGACTGGCGTTGACTCACCTGCGACCCCACGCCATGGACTGGCGTTGACTCACCTGCGACCCCACGCCATGGACTGGCGTTGACTCACCTGCGACCCCACGCCATGGACTGGCGTTGACTCACCTGCGACCCCACGCCATGGACTGGCGTTGACTCACCTGCGACCCCACGCCATGGACTGGCGTTGACTCACCTGCGACCCCACGCCATGGACTGGCGTTGACTCACCTGCGACCCCACGCCATGGACTGGCGTTGACTCACCTGCGACCCCACGCCATGGACTGGCGTTGACTCACCTGCGACCCCACGCCATGGACTGGCGTTGACTCACCTGCGACCCCACGCCATGGACTGGCGTTGACTCACCTGCGACCCCACGCCATGGACTGGCGTTGACTCACCTGCGACCCCACGCCATGGACTGGCGTTGACTCACCTGCGACCCCACGCCATGGACTGGCGTTGACTCACCTGCGACCCCACGCCATGGACTGGCGTTGACTCACCTGCGACCCCACGCCATGGACTGGCGTTGACTCACCTGCGACCCCACGCCATGGACTGGCGTTGACTCACCTGCGACCCCACGCCATGGACTGGCGTTGACTCACCTGCGACCCCACGCCATGGACTGGCGTTGACTCACCTGCGACCCCACGCCATGGACTGGCGTTGACTCACCTGCGACCCCACGCCATGGACTGGCGTTGACTCACCTGCGACCCCACGCCATGGACTGGCGTTGACTCACCTGCGACCCCACGCCATGGACTGGCGTTGACTCACCTGCGACCCCACGCCATGGACTGGCGTTGACTCACCTGCGACCCCACGCCATGGACTGGCGTTGACTCACCTGCGACCCCACGCCATGGACTGGCGTTGACTCACCTGCGACCCCACGCCATGGACTGGCGTTGACTCACCTGCGACCCCACGCCATGGACTGGCGTTGACTCACCTGCGACCCCACGCCATGGACTGGCGTTGACTCACCTGCGACCCCACGCCATGGACTGGCGTTGACTCACCTGCGACCCCACGCCATGGACTGGCGTTGACTCACCTGCGACCCCACGCCATGGACTGGCGTTGACTCACCTGCGACCCCACGCCATGGACTGGCGTTGACTCACCTGCGACCCCACGCCATGGACTGGCGTTGACTCACCTGCGACCCCACGCCATGGACTGGCGTTGACTCACCTGCGACCCCACGCCATGGACTGGCGTTGACTCACCTGCGACCCCACGCCATGGACTGGCGTTGACTCACCTGCGACCCCACGCCATGGACTGGCGTTGACTCACCTGCGACCCCACGCCATGGACTGGCGTTGACTCACCTGCGACCCCACGCCATGGACTGGCGTTGACTCACCTGCGACCCCACGCCATGGACTGGCGTTGACTCACCTGCGACCCCACGCCATGGACTGGCGTTGACTCACCTGCGACCCCACGCCATGGACTGGCGTTGACTCACCTGCGACCCCACGCCATGGACTGGCGTTGACTCACCTGCGACCCCACGCCATGGACTGGCGTTGACTCACCTGCGACCCCACGCCATGGACTGGCGTTGACTCACCTGCGACCCCACGCCATGGACTGGCGTTGACTCACCTGCGACCCCACGCCATGGACTGGCGTTGACTCACCTGCGACCCCACGCCATGGACTGGCGTTGACTCACCTGCGACCCCACGCCATGGACTGGCGTTGACTCACCTGCGACCCCACGCCATGGACTGGCGTTGACTCACCTGCGACCCCACGCCATGGACTGGCGTTGACTCACCTGCGACCCCACGCCATGGACTGGCGTTGACTCACCTGCGACCCCACGCCATGGACTGGCGTTGACTCACCTGCGACCCCACGCCATGGACTGGCGTTGACTCACCTGCGACCCCACGCCATGGACTGGCGTTGACTCACCTGCGACCCCACGCCATGGACTGGCGTTGACTCACCTGCGACCCCACGCCATGGACTGGCGTTGACTCACCTGCGACCCCACGCCATGGACTGGCGTTGACTCACCTGCGACCCCACGCCATGGACTGGCGTTGACTCACCTGCGACCCCACGCCATGGACTGGCGTTGACTCACCTGCGACCCCACGCCATGGACTGGCGTTGACTCACCTGCGACCCCACGCCATGGACTGGCGTTGACTCACCTGCGACCCCACGCCATGGTACATGCCGGTGCTCCACGGCACGAGCAGCAGGCGCCGGCCCTGGCAGGCGCGGGGAGGCAGCATCTGGTGCAGCCAGATGTCGCGCTGCGATTGGCGCGTCATGGCCAGGCTGTTGCTGTCCGCCCCCCGCACCTTGGGGGAGGTAGAAGGGGGATGGGCGGGGTGGGATGGGAAGGGTGCATGGGGAAGGGCGCATGGGGAAGGGCGCATGGGGAAGGGCGCATGGGGAAGGGCGCATGGGGAAGGGCGCATGGGGAAGGGCAGGTGTAGAGGGCACATGGAACAGGGCGTATGGGAAAAGGCGTATGAGAAAGGCCGCAAGGGAAGGGGCGGTTGGGGGAAGGGGAGGGAATGGGTGGATTGGAGGGAGGCGGAGAGATGCGAGAGAAGGAGAAAGGAAAGACAGGGAGAAAGAGGGGAGCGGGGAAAGAAGAGGGGCACAAATGGCGGTGAAAGTACAGATACGCTGAGAAGGCTCAGTGGTGGCGGAGGGAAGGAAGGAAGAAGAACGAGCAGTGGAGCATGGGATGAGTGAGGCTGGTGGGTGCGTGATGCTTCTGCCTTGTCTCACCATCACTCCCACACTTCACCTCTCACAAGCATCCCCTCTCACCCACCCACACACCCAACCCGCTTTAATCACCGACACCCCTCTCCTCCTCACTCAGTCACTCACTTGCTCACCCACGGTGGCTGTGGTGGGCGATTGCAGGAGGAGGAGGATGAGGACGACGAGGAGTCTGAAGGTGAACTTTCCGCATGCCATGTGCCCCGCGGCTGACAGCACCCGCCCTCACTGCTCCGCGGGGGGTCCGCCCAAGCTGGCGGCTCCCCCCCTTCCCCCCGTTGCTCCGCCTGCTGGCGCAGCGCTGTGAGCGTGGCGCAGTCCTCGAGATGAGGGGCGGGGGGGAGGGAGGGCGGAAGGGAGAGGGGGGAGGGCGGAAGCAGCGAGTCGGGGGAGAGCCCGTAGGCGTCCGCCCAGGCCTGCGGGAGTGTGTGTGGTTCGAGGGGGGGAGTGATGGGCGGGAAGGGGGGTGGGGGAGGCGAATGGGAAAGGGAGAGGGGAAGGGAAGGGGGGAGGGAGAACGAGCAAGACGGAGCGGGGGAGGGGAAGGGGAAGTTAAGGCGGCGAGTGGAAGAATGGGAGGAGCGGGGTTGCGGGGCGGCGGCAGACGGCGAGAGGGCGACGGTGGGCCATGAGCGGTGGACACGGTGGGAAGGGCGCTTCCAGTTAGCCAGTGCGGTTCACAGCGGTACCGAGGGGCGCTGCTGGATGGGAAAACAGTGGCGGCTGCGTGCGCGCACTCCCGCTGTTGTCTCACCCGATACAACGACATGGCGTGCTCCATTCCCGCCGCCCCTTCCAGAGCGCTCACGACGGTCGATGCAGTCTTGCTGGACAAATCGCACGGCCAGTCGCAAAGCATCGTCGCCACGACGAATGCGGCGAGCGAAATTGGCAGGCGACTAGATGGAGCATGGCGGGCGTGTGTGCGTCCCATGATCATCAACGGATCCGCGATCCCATCACTTTCAGCATTGTACATAAAGCAACAGCGTTAAAAACAATTTATTATTGTACGTTCACGGGGGTGTAGCTCACATGGTAGAGCGATCGCTTTGCATGCGATAGGTACGGGGACCGATAACCCGCGTCTCCAAGCATTTCAACTTTTCCCAGTGAAAATAGTACAAAATAACCGCGCGCGTCTAGCGCGTACGTTTTCAATTGAGGTAGAGTTCAGAATATGCAGTTAATTTTGTTCAACACGATGCAAAACGTTGGAGATTTAAAACCGCTTTGAAACTCCTGAAACCGTTTCAGACCACGACGGATGAACTGTATAGTACATATAAACGTACGTGCTGGACCCGCCGTAAACGCTCATGGTGGAAAATAATCGCCTCTTGGCGATCATTCCACGGGGGCGGATCACTTAGTGCTTTACCAGCTATTCGCACCTTGGCGGCCAAATCCGCGACCTTGCAACGAGATCCGAACCTGGCAGCGAAACTCGAGACCTGGCAGAGACATCAGAGACCCCGTAGCCCAACACCTACGGGTCGGCCGCGGGACCGGCGACATCCGTGAGCTTTTTGCTCCAAGCGTGAGCTAACCACCTCAATTGGGCAAGTAGGAAGACACACCTTTGCCAGAGCTCGTAACCAAGGACGACGATTCAGAATCTGAAGACTCGGGAATCCGGGAGAGAGAGGGGGGGGGGGGGAAGGGGAGGGGGGGTGGGGGGACTTGACATCGCGACGACGGGGGCCATTGGGGGGAAAAGACAGCAGCACCCACTGAGACGCTTCGCCCAATAGCTGGCCACAAAAGATGGGGAGTGAGTGCATGCGGAGGAACTCTAGGGTCCACGCATCGGCCGCATGCACGACGAAGATACTGGCAAGCAGGGCCTCATATTCGTTTGGGGGTACACTGAGGCCTCAGGGCAGTTTTTAGAAAATCAGAATTTGCCCTGAATTGTCAGGGCTGCACAGGGTGAGGTATGCTGAAATGACAGTGCTACATTTGAAAGTCTCCGTAAACTTAGTGCTTCATTTCAAGATAGGTGAAGTGTGGTAGAGGGTAAAGCGGCAATGCGTTACGTATAGGTCTCGTTCTCGATTCTCGCTGGCTCCTGTGTTCGGGTATCTCGCGCATACATATTTTAGGCCCGAAACCTAGGAGATCTTTCGTACAGTACATCTCGCTTCAGAGCGAGATTCGACACTATCCTGACTCATCAGGGCTGAACCTACAGCCTTATCCTGAGTTTCCAGTACGCAAAATAACGTTATACTGAAATTACAGGACAATTATTCCTGTTATGCTGTTTTTCCAGGACTAGCACACGACACCTATCCTGAATTCAGGAGAATCATGATAAATTATCCTGATAACTGAGGCCCTGCTGGCAAGCAAAAATAGAGGCAACATAAACCCGACTATCCAAGGTACCGTACATACAGTCGTGTGGGGCACCGCTTGAGGAACCTCCTAGCAACTGGTCTTGTTGGAGCAGCGGCTTCGACCATTTGGCTGAAGGGGGGCTGGCCCCAATTAGCGAAGCGGGCCTGGCTCCAATTAGCTAAGGGCGTGTACATCTTTTTTTTTTTTTTTTTCCAAACCGTCAAATGTCCGGACAAGCTTGTCAAACCTTACGGACAGCGTTGGTTTGGACGTTTAAGACATATGTTTGGACGAAGTTTCGGCCGGACCTCTATCGTAAAAAAATTTATATTTTCAAGAACTCGAACTATTTACGACATGATAACGACTTGTAACGACGCATGATTTATTACTACGCACTCCAATGAAAGCGCACCAAAATTGGGCGGTCCAAATTGCATGTGGACACAGAACAGACAGAAATACCCGCCAAAAATGTCAAAAAAGTGTCACATTCAGTATATACGCTTGCAACGTCGCGAAATGACTCGTGATTCTGACGAAGTGTCCAGCGAAAATAGTTACCCCTCAAATTTCCTGACGGAGATTGGTTTGAGAAAAGTTACACGCCCAAATGCAACGCTGGGGTTCTGAATGAAGCACTAGCGATGGCGAGGGCAGTTTGGGAGGCCCACTGTAGGCGCCTACAGTAGCAGCACGGCAGTCGTAGGTGGTGTCAGAATGTTATTTTTCTCTAGTCTGCAGTGGGGTACTCTATAGCGAGTATAGCACTGTTAGGGTTTGCTATATGTACTCAACTGCCTGCTAGTAAAAACCCCTCTTTTGCCTATTCTCTCTTGCCTAGCTAGCTACTATTTCTGAAATGCTATCAGAGCGAGTACGCTCTTGGCCTGTGGGCCCACCTGCTTCCGCTGCTGTCCTATCTGCCGCGCGCCCCGTGGCGTGCGACGTTTTTTCTTCCCGCCACGCGCTCGGGGCGCATGGTGGTTTTCTGCCTGCCGCGCGCTCGGGGCGCGCGGCGGTTTACTGCCTCACGCGTCACCCCGGGGACACGCGCGTCCCCCCCCCCCCCCCCCGTCGACCGTCGCGCCGCCCCCGGGGACCCGCGCGTCCCTCCTCGTCGACCCGCGCGCTGCCCCGTGGGCCCGCGCGCTGCCCTGCCCGTCGCTCGTCGCGACGCCCTGGGGGCCCGCGCGTCCCCCCCTCCCGTCGCCCGTCGCGGCGCCCTGGGGGCCCGCGCGTCGCCCCCTCCCGTCGCCCGTCGTGGCGCTCTGGGGGCCCGCGCGTCGCCCCCTTCCCATCGCCCGTCGCGGCGCCCTGGGGGCCCGCGCGTCGCCCCCTCCCGTTGCCCGTCGCGGCGCCCTGGGGGCCCGCGCGTCGCCCCCTCCCGTCGCCCGTCGCGGCGCCTTGGGGCCCCGCGCGCCGCCCTGGGGCCCCGCGCGCCGCCCTGCCCGTCGCCCGTCGCAGCGCCCCAACTGCTGTCCGTGTTTCTGCCCCACGTCGCCTGTGTTTGGGGTGTGGGGGTGGCGGGTATGGGGGTGGCGAGTGTGTGACCGTCCCCTGCTCCTCCTCCTCCGTCTCCCACTGCTGCAGCTGCCGCTGAGGGGGGTGGGTGTGTGGGAGCCGAGGGAGTGGTGCTAGGGGGGTGACATGGGAGTGGAGCTAGGGGTGCAGCAAGGGGTGTGTGAAAGGGGGGTGGGACAGTTGGGGGAGGTTGAGCGGAGGTAGCTGTAGTGTCGCCAGCAGCGCCAGTAGTCCGGAGGCTACAATCTCCGGTAGTCGCCAGTGGTCCGTGGGTCAGTTGCTCCAGCCGCTCGGCGTAGCCGCGGAGCCAGTTACTCCTGAAGTCCGGGCCATTGCTTCGGTAGCCACTGAGCCAGCCGGTCCTGTGTGTCTGCAGCTTCCGCCATCGCCTCCCATCTCCTCTCCTCTCACAGTCCCTCCTCCTCCTCATTTGCCCTCTGTGACTGCCTCTAGCTTTGCTTGAACTTGTGAACCTGCTCTGTGACTACTTGCTGTGCTGATTATACCCCACTTTGACTATGGGGTTGTGTCAGAATGTTATATTTCTCTAGTCTGCAGTGGGGTACTCTATAGTGAGCACAGCCCTGTTAGGGTTTGCTATATGTACTCAACTGCCTGCTAGTGAAAACCCCTCTTTTGCCTATTCTCTCTTACCTAGCTAGCTAAACCCTAGTTATGGCTCCTGCGTTCTAGCTACTAATTCTGACAGGTGGGCCTCTCAGAAAGGGCCACGCAGGAAAACGTCTGAAGTCCAGTTGTACTCCCCACCTGCACCGGCTTCTTGCTGATTGGGCCTTGGTTGGCTCGGTGGCAGGAGTGGAGGCGCCAGAGGGCGGTTGAAAGGGACGGGCAGGAGGAGCCGTAGGTGTCGCAGGGCGGGGGGCGGCGAAAACGGAGAGGGAGCAAAGGCTGCGAAAGAAGGGGCAGAAAAGGCCGCAACGGCAACCGATGGGGCGGCAGCAGCCGCCGCGGACGGGGTTGTAGCTGAAGCAATAGATTGGGCCGTGGCACGGCTAGCAGCGCCAAAAGAAGCCAGAGCGGCGACAGAAGCCGCAGCGGGGGCGGTAGAGGCCCCAGCAAGGGCAGAAGATGCCTAAGCAGGGACGGTAGAGGGCCCAACAGGGGCAAAAGATGCCTGAGCAGGGGCGGTAGAGACCGCAGCCGGAGCGACATCGGCTGTAGAAGAAGCTGGCAGTGAAGGGTAAGCAGAGAGTGCAGGCGTATCGGGCATAGAGGTAGCAATAACAGGAGAGGCGAAGTGGGTCCTCCTCAAGGGGGGTGGTGGGGGAAGGGGGGTTGAAGGGGATGAGGTGATAGTAGTCAAAGAAATTGCATTCTAAGATATGATGCACATTGATGGTCCTCTGAGCCGCCACCTCATCCTCGCTAATGGGGATGACGCAATCTCCCTACAACCTCATAAAAAGCCCCCCCCCCCCCCCCCCCCCCCCCCCTTTTTCCCCCATTTCCAACCCTTTGCACGCAGGAGCATCATTGGAGGGGCCAGAGGGAGTAATAATGGCAGGGCATCTTTGGAGTGCTCCAATCCATGCCTCGCACCTTTTAGCCCGTAGGAGCACCCCCCTTTTGTCCCCACCCTTACATGTAATCTCGAGTGTCAACTGGAGCAGCTAAGGCCCGAGCTTTCCTAGAGGATCCCTACTCACCGACCCTTTACTCCCAGCCACTACCTCCCCATCTAACAAGGCCTCCCCACCTCACAGCTGCATACATATCCGAGGCGCTCAGGTTAGCCGCATTAATTCCCGCACTTAACAAACTATACATATATTCTTAGGTGTAAAGTCTAGAGGATCCCTACTGTCTAACTCTAACCTCCCAGCTGTGAATGAAGAAAACAGGAATGGGAAATGACTAAGGGAAAGTTGGGTACAAATACAAACCCTAGAAAAACTGTACCCCATATGTGCTACCCCACTATAGCCTACAGTAGCTCTGTCATATAAATCTGACACACCCCCATAAGCAAAG